TCCCCCAGGAGGTTCTGAAAAGTAAAGAGATGTCAGTATTTCTCATCAGAAAAAGGAAAAAGAAAACTGGAGCCGCTAACATCTTGATTAAGAATTCCTTTTTATTCCCTGGGTTTCTGCAATTTTTTAACTCAACCAAGGCATGCGTTGGGTTTTAAAATTAATAGATCCAGTGAAAAACTCAAAACAATATGTTGACTATTTCATGGAGATAAGACCCAGGCCAGACGAGGTTTGTTTTATGTCATCAACAAGGGCAGGAGGTTGCAGAGAGGAATCTCATAATATCCTAGTGATGAAATTTTGGGTTGCCACGAAATGATTTCTCTGAAATGTAGAAGAAAATTTACCTCAGAATGAATGTCTCAAAAGGAAAAGGGAAAGAGCATGGATTCAAGGTAAACCAAGTTATCTTTGTGTGTGCGTGTATGTATGTGTGTGTGTGTGTGTGTGTGTGTGTTTTGGTTTTCAAAACAGGGTTTCTCTGTGTAGTCCTGGCTGGCCTGGAACTCTCTCTATAGACCAGGCTGACCTTGAACTCACAGAGATCCTTCTCCTCTGCCTCCAGAGTGCTGGGATTAAAGGCCCACATTGTCTTTTTAATGTCTAGGGAATATATATGTGTCCTTATGGATGAGATAACAATTTAGCAAAAAACGTAACTGAATAACAAAAGAAGAAGTCTGGAAAGTGTGGGGAGAGGTCAAGGACAAACTGGCTGATGGGATTGTATCCAGGGGAGTTTCTATGCATTTGGTTGAATGGCAAGTATGACGACACAGGCTCCATCTTCTCACAGACAAGACTTTTAAAGGTCATGTTTGGTGATCTCCACCTGAGATGGGAGGAAAAGAAGAGCTATTAGTTAATGTACTGACAAGAATGAAATGTCAAGGAAAACCAAAATAACAGTTTCCTGGTGGCTAACGATGATGCTCTTGTGTGTAGAATTCATCAGAGTTGGTGACACTGAGCCAGTCAAGGGAGAAGATGCTCAAAGCCCACGGGGAAGGTGTTCCACATCAGCAACCATGAACATCTGCATGAAAGGGCACGGAGATGCAGCCACGAGAGCGTGTAAGAGTAAAGACTGAGGTGGACAGCACCATGAGGTGGGAGTGTGGGGAGCAGCCAGAAGGTGTGCCTCTCCGATCAAAACGCAAAATGTACCCGTGTTTGAATTGTAGCTTGGTGGCTTCTGAAGTTAATGCACACTCATTGTGAGAAACACCAACACCGCTTCCAGTGTTTTACTTTCTTCTTCATTTGACAAAAGCACACCTACACAGAAATCAACCAACCAATCAACCAACCAAAATGAAATCTGCAGAAAGACCTGTGCATGAAAATTCAAGTCAGCTCTTCATAATTCCAAGCCCCAAGTCACCGCATGCGGTGAAATAACTGGTGTTTCCATGCTAGAAATGACTCAAAAGCAGTTAAAATTACACATTTCTATGTCATATGTGAATCTCAAAAACATGCTCAGCAAAAGAGCCATGTTTGGGGATCTCCATGTTCTTCTTAAGAAGTTCTAGGAAACAATGAACCTAGACTGAGAGAAGGCAGATCAGGAGGTTCATGGGGCTGGGATGGAGGTGGAGGGGAACCTGAACGGGAGAGGGTAAAAGAGTGATATAAATATTTTATATCTTAATTATGCCGGGGATTACATTGCATGTAAATTTTTGAGGATTCATCAAATGATAAATTCAGTTATCAGCATTTTCCTGTATATAATCTACAGCTCAGTACATATGATGTAAAAACAAGAAAGCTTTTGAGTTTTGAGAAAATCGGAGACAGCACTCACTTGAAAGAACTCTTTGAGGTCCACAGTATGCAGCTGGTCTCCGAAACTACTAGTAAAAGCATTGAGTGAGTCACAGACCGAGTCATTGTGCTATATTAGCTACTTTGTAGGATCATTCTTTTAGGCACTGATCCAACTCATCAGCTCTCCCTTGGACAAGACCTTACCCGGAGTGGGTAGCTATTTGTGATCACTACATTCCTCATAGGCCCTGCGAATCCTGAAAAGGTTCCATTGTCAGGAGACAATGTGGCATCACTGTAGCCAGCAAGTTATGCTTTGTAAAGAAATGGGCTGCTAACAATACTTAGCTGAGCAAGTTTGGGAGAACCCAGATGAACTCCCTTGCTCCCAAGTTTCTCTGGCCAGTTCAGGGGATGTTCAGGTGGGGATTTGTAAGCATTAAGACATGATTTCAGGCATGTTGTGAAGTACAAATTGCAGTTCTGTAGCAGTGAAAGTTTACATTTATGTGATATAAAAAGCGAACATGAAGTATAACCGAGAAACATCTGGACAAATCACCACTAGCAGGGACAAGTAAACTGTCCCCTACAAGGCCACTCCCATGAATTTATCTCATATGGCCACCAAGCTCTCTTTCCCAAATTCCCCTTAAATTACGGTTTTCCTTTCCAGTGAACCACCTCCTCATCTCCTCCCTCTCTCATGGGAGGCAGTTGTTATTATATTCTTGGCCAAGAATATAATATTATGTTATTATATGTATGGCCAAGTTAATAATTATACAAATTTTAAGAATTTCTTTAGTCGTCTATTTTGACTTCTAAAGACAAGACCCCATTTCCTTGCCGAGGGGCCCCATGACTCAAGCTTCAAGGATTCCCGGGAACTTCCAGGCTGTAGATGAAATGGGGGACGGAGGGGCGCTCTGGAAGCACAGAAGCCAGATATAACTGGTCCCATAGTTGTGGCAGCCTAATCACTTTAGGAAGAAGGGGCGCTGAGAAGTTCCGCCACGCGCCACTGCAAACGTGGACTGGGGCCGAGAGGAGCTTGTCTACATTACCTGCTGTGAAACACAGATGTTACTCTATAACGCTAGAGGAAAGGCTGACAGCGTTGAAAAATTCAGGCTCATATGATGACACGAACAAAGAGTAGAATGTAAAAGGCTGGAGCACGACAAAGCCATGCCCTACAGCTGATTATAATAAAGGGTTATTTTTTTTTCTGGATTTTTATAATGGTTATTGTAATTTTGGCTTTTGAAATTTTATAATTTGTTGGAGTATCTTTTGCACTGTAAAAAAATATAATCACTTTCAAAGATAATTTGTATTCATGTTTCTTGTATTTCTCTATTAAAATTCCACAAATTATATAAGCTTCAGGTCCCCATACAATCTGGATCAGCGTTTGGTCTCTTAATATTAGCTCAATAAATGTTTGATTAATTACAATTGCAAGAAACCCTGAGCTCCCAGAACAAAAGGAAACAAGGGGAATAAAAATACATTTTAAAAGAATGAAAACAAGCAATGGCTCGGCTGTAAAACTGCTATCTTTATGACCGAGACGCTGAAAGAATTCTAGCGGGTTATACTGTGAGCCAGATGCTCTGTAGCCAGCACTGCAGGGCCAGCCTCACTGGCTGCGAGGGACTGTCCAATGAGGCTCTGCTGGAACTGCGGTTACATGGCAGTAATAACTTCCAATGCAGTAATTCCCAGCACATGATTTCCCTAGGATTAAATTAGATTTTCCAATTGTTTCAGATGAACCAACATGAAAGGCTCAAGGAGAGAGAAAGTAAGACTTTACTTCCCATAAGCAATTAATTTTATCACCAAGAGCAAGGATGCTGTTTAAAAACAAGCAAGAGTTCTCTCAGCTCTAGGCGAAAGTCCAACTTCCTAGGTGAATTAGTTGCTTCACTTTATAAAGCAGATGTATTTGAAAATTACGAATGCTTGCCTAACAAAGGAATGTGAGACTTCTGAGTTTGCTTTGCATACCAAGTAATAGTTTGTGGGACTAGAAAGGTGGCAAGGAGATGCGTGTTTATGTACAAACGCATCTTTCCAAAGTTCCACAGGGACAGAGCAGGGCAGCAGTGGTTTAAGACACTGGACAGAAGAGATGGAAGGAGTGGTGCCTAAGAGATGAGCCACAACAGGAACCCTACAGCTGCCCCAGCTCACCGCCTTGAGAGTTTTTGGACTATGCAGTGGAAACCCAATTCTACTGACTTGAGAAAGTGGTGGAGACCAAAGGAACTGAAAGACTTGGTGACACTATTCTCTAACTTGACATAATTGATCTACAAGGAATATGTTTTCTGCCAGCAATGATAGTTAATACTTACAGGCCTAGATACTCAGGAAGCTGAGGTAGAAGAGTCACTTAGCTAGAGTGTGAGATCAATCTGGACAGTACAGAGATTTCTCTCCCTCCCTCTCTCTCTCAAAAAAGAATAAAATAAAAGAAAAAGAGTTCATGTTCTTTTTAAATGCACACTGATCATTAACCAAAATAGAAACTATTTGTACTGTAGAGTCTCAACAAGTTAAAAAATTCAACACATAGAAAATGTGTTTTCTGATCACAATGGAATTAAAATAGAAACCAATAGCAGAAAGATCTCTGCAAATATCTTTAAATAGAGGAAACTAAGTAGATGTCTAAATAACTCATGTGTCAAAGAAGAAATAAAAATGGAAATTAAATTTCCCATTGAATAAAAGTGAAAACACAGTGTACCAAAACTTGTGTGATGTTAGAGACCCTTGGAGAGGAAGTGAAAGCTCCAAAAGTCTGTCAGGATTTTTTTAAAGGCATTTTAAAAGCGCCCATCATATGCCGGGCACACTGGACTCTCATCATGACATGTAAGCAGCCTTAGGCTCAGAGCAGCTTTGAGAATACACGAGAGTCCTGGCTTGGCCAGTAAAATTCTGTGGCCCCACCTATGTTCCTCTTACATCAGAGCTTAAGCTATTTATTGTTACAATGGGAAGTCTGGTGTAAAAGATGTGTTTGCATTTCCTTTCAGCTTTAACCAATACATTTCTAAATTCAAAACTATAAAGACATTGCAAAATAAAAAGCTTCGCTATAAACGTTGGGGCACAACTGAAGTGACTTTGGTTTTCCATTCGTCCTTCAGGAAGGACAGCTAAGAACACAACTCAAGGGACATCGAAGTATTAAGATGTCAACAGGACATTGTTTACTTCTTTAATGTTTTATGAGAAACTGTAACATAGTTTTGATTCACATCTTTGGGAGATAGTCAAAGCTCTGGATTTGAACTCCCTTTTCCCAGCACTGCGCACGAAGTCTCCTGAGAGGTCAGAGTTTGTGTACTCCATCTTTAAGTGGAAGGGGTCCCATTAGCCTGGCCTCGGCGATCCACCAGAAGACATCCTCAGGTCACGTAGGATGAATACCGCGATCTGCCTTTTCCGTGGTCAGGTATCCTGAGGTGAGCGAAGCAACCACAGAAAGTTAGTGTTTACACAGGCAAATTTGTGTGAAATTCCCTGGAGGGATTTAACATTCTTTAAGTAAGGCAGTTGGTGGTACAAGAGAAAAGAGCTTTTATAAGGCAAAGAAGTTTGATGCCGACGCTCGAGTTGGTCCCGTCACACGTGCTTCGTGTGGCGCATGTTTCGGTGAGGACAGCAGATGTGAGTGCTCCAGAGGCGGCGGAGATGGGGTAGAGCTCAGACTGCCTGGGTTTAGCATATTTCAGGAGGTGTGACTCTGATGGGGTCCTGGTTGGGGACCTTCCTCTGGTAACACTTTGTGGGAGAAACTGCCATGTGGCCAGAAATTGCTAAAGTAGGAGTGTCACACTACTAATTGGATCAAGGACTTTTCCACAAACTACGTTGCATTATCTGACCAGTGGCTACCAACTTGCCCACTGAAGATATACTGACACCAGGGAGCAGATAGGAATTCGGTTAAAATCAGTGAGCATTTAGTCTTAGGACCAGAGCCTCAAGTCCTTTTTATTTGTCAAGGACACTGTTTCTCCTTCTCAGATTCCTTAGAGGAAGTCTCTAAACTGCTTTCTGTTGGGAGGGGCGGGGGAGCTGTTTCCAAGGAGCCTATGGTATGACTAACCGTGCCATTTCTTGCTAGCCGGAAGAGCCTGCTTCAGCTTGCATATCATTGGTAGCAGTATTTATTGTTTTTAGCTTTTTAGAGCCAGCAGGTCACTGTCAATGGCACTGCGAAGGCTGTGAGGTGACCTATGTGTTTCCTGCCCCATGTAGCCAGTAGACCACCTGTAGAGGAAAGTGAATGATTTGGTACCACAACTGGCCATATATGCTCTCAAACAGAGAAGAAACAGTTCCATTTAACTAGCTGGAGTCTCTAAGTGATGGCTTGGGAGTTGGGAGAGAGAGAGAGAGAGAGTGTGTGTGTGTGTGTGTGTGTGTGTGTGTGTGTGTGTGTGTGTTGGGGACAGTAAACAGAGAATTCAAGTTCTACTCTGATTTCTAGAATGGTCGAAGTATACCAGAGGATCTTTATTAGTCACTGATGACTAAACTTAATTTTTAAAAATTGTCTTAGTTTATTACTAAAAATTGGGAAATATAGCAAATAAAACACAGACTCACAGAAGCAGGGCTAGTATTAGTTTAGTTTGTTTTCTACTAATAATTTTCTAGCGTACTTTTACACAGTTTGACACCACATCAATGTACTATTTTGTCTTGTTCACAAGATATTCTATGAACTTTCCTATAAAGTACACACACACACACACACACACACACACACACACGTACACACGGGTGAGAGAAACAGTCGTGCTTTTTAGTCCATGTAGGATTCATGACCTTCCTGCTTCTCTCCATATAATATCTTATATCATATCATAATATCATATATGTGTGTGTATTTTTTGAAACAGGGACTTGCTCTCTAACCCAGACCAGCGTGGGCCTCATGATCATACCATCCCGTTTTCCTGAGTGAGAGGATTTACCAGTGTGCCACCATGTTGAACATGTAATTATTTTTAATATAAACTATTTCTACTGCAGTGAAGCTCTAGCATGAATGACTGGTCTCTTGTTGTTGGGCACAGTATTAGGCTGCTGGGAATGCACATCCATGCTGTCTCTCTAGGGTTATTCCTATGATGTGACATGCATGATTAGACTTAACACGTTTTGGACTTTAGTTATATTTTAACCCAAGAATTATAGCAAAAAGCATACTCCCACTAACAACATATAAACACATTTCATCTTGTGGTAATACTGCTAATATTGACCACTTCCTGAAAAAAGAAAAAAAAAACTTCAAAGTTTGATAGTAAAACAGTATTTTTATTGTAATTCTCTTTACAATTCTCTGATTACTAGCTATATTTCTTCTTTTGTCCTTTCTAGCAACTGTGCCCATTGTTTACATTTTCATCCTTATGAATGAAATTATTTTATTTTATAAGGTCTGTTGAAACAACGAAACCATTCACTAGGGTACATTTTATTAGATTGATTTAAGTATTAGCTACACAAACATTCTAAAGGCCATAGTTTATTGACATGAAAAAATGAAGCATACATGTTCAGAGGTCATTATATGTGAACATCAGAGTAAATACTGTTTCCAAACAACATGATTTGTCTCATAGTACAGCTGCTACAGAACACATGGCTAGACCTTCAAATCAAATGAGAACACATAATCTTTACATTAAGGAAAAAAGCATTATCAAAAATACAATTCTGATAAATCCTAGAACCATGTACTGGGTTTGCGGAAGAATAAGTTCTTTTATTTACCTCTTCAAAGAAGAGATTATTTTTTTCACCTCTTTATGTGCATCCTTGTCCTATAAAGAAAACACAAATGTACAATGAAATGTCAAACATTTATCCCGATATTCTAAGTACTCTGAAATGGACTATTCTTGGATGTAGGAATATTTCCTGAAAGGCTATTACAAATAGACTGTGAATTTCTTAGGACCCTGCAGGATATGGATCTATGTGAATGTAGTTCATGGGGAAGCTATTTCTCCATGAAAGCTGGAATGGGATTCAGGAGGGGAGAGTCTCCTACACAGGTCTACCAGCATGTCGGCAGTAGCGCTGTCTCCCTTGTCTAAGTGTGAAGCAGCCATAGCCCCAGCAGCAGGACTTGAAGGCACCCAAGATTACCCAGGAAGAGTCATGTAAACATAGCTTACACGTTCAAATATGTCACATTAATGTTGTACATTTATTATTATTGTTGTTGTGGTTCTTGTTACTGTTACAATCTATTCACTTTGTATCCAGGTTGTAGCCTCCTTTCTCATCTGCTCCCGGTCCCACCCTCCCTCCTCCTTCTCCCACACACCTCCCCCCTAGCCCACTGACAGGGGAGGTCCTCCCCTACTGTCTGACCCTAGCCTACATGTTAGCACTCTGAAAGCGTTGGTGCGAAGAACCACAGCAGCCATTGCACTAGGAGGAGGACAGCTTCAGCAGTGACTGTAAGCAGCTCTAGGGTGGATGGAGCCTCAAAATCCGGACATTATGAAACTATTTCTATAATAAGGAAACTAGCATGAGCAAATGATCACCGTGGGTTTTTAGTTTTTCTAGTCTTTGTATTATTGTTTTCTAAGTTGTATATGTAGAGTCAGGAATTCAATCTCCTTTTTGTAAAGAACATAGGATAAAGTGATTTATGTGTATAGCCACCTGCCTCTAAAAGTGGTTTTCAGTCTGAATTAGGGCCACTTAGTGATTTTGGTTTTTGTTTTTGTTTTTCTGTTGTTTTGTTTTGAGACAGGGTTTCTCTGTGTAGCTTTGGCTGTTCTGGACTTGCTTTGTAGACCAGGCTGGCGTTGGACTCACAAAGATCTGCCTGTTGCTGCCTCCCCAAGTGCTGGGATTACAGGTGCATACCACCAAGCCGGGCTTCCAATCAGTGATTTTGTAACTAGTTTATTCACTACTAAACTAACAGCACCGCAAGTTACAGTGAGGACACCCCACCTTTCGCTGTCTCCCTTGCCTGTGAGCTTTCATAGCATCCTTCATCTTTTCTGAGGCCCTTGTAACTTCTTTGCATTACAGTTATTTTGTCGATGTGTCTACTGTCTCTCACCAGGATATTATAAACCTATCACACGTCTAGTTGCTACTCAGACTGTCAGCCATTTGGTCTCTAGAGCCCAAATTAATGTGTATAAGCAGCTTTGCATTCAAAGAATTCGAAACTACAGTACTTCAATTATTGTTGTGAGCATCTCTTCACTGTAAGGAGCTAATCACAGATCCTAAGAAACATTCTTTAAAACAGAAAATAAAAGGAGCTCCTATGTCTAAGTAAATATTCAGTGATTGCTGAATTAATGACTTCATCAATAGCCTTGCCATTGTTTACCTAGAGGAAACACTCAAGTCTAGTGGCCTGGAGTGTACGGGGAAGCCTCAGGTGGGAAAGAAATTATAATGCTTTCTTTGCTTTACAGTGATAGAGGTACTAATCTGAAAGAGAAACTGTATTTTAACTTTCTACAATATTTTCAGATGATATTAATCACTCATAGAAGAGTAATCTCCAGTATAAACCACAGTATAAACCATTCCATAATAATGGAATTTATTACTGACTTTATCCTACAGAGACCAATGCATCAACTGAGGACCATGCATAGAGAGGACCTAGACCCCCACCTCAGTCTGACCCATGGCAGCTCAGGCTCTAAGTGGGTTCCCCAGTAAGGGGAGCAGGGGCTGTCTCTGACGTGAACTCAGTCGTCTGCTCTCTGATCACCTCCCCCTGGCGGGTCGACCTAGCCAGCCCACAGAGGAAGAGGCTCTAGGCCGCGTACTTGGCACTAGGAATATGGTGATGAATAAAATAGGGTTGCTGCTACTATAAAGGAATGATCACACAAAGACCCATGCAATCGCAGCTGTGCTGCACGGTCTGCAGGGAAACTAAGAGAGGGGTATCAGGTGGTCTGCTGGATGACATGGGAACTGTGGGGCCAGCTGGAAGGTTCTCAGGCTCTGTAGTCAAAAGAAAGGCTGCTGGTACTGTGCCCTGGCAGCGGCATTGGAGACAGAGCCAGCAGAGTGGCTCCAGGCACCTTTTAGAAGAGGAATTGAGAGATTTTTATCACCAGGTGTTTGTCTGTCTAGGTTTGGGGGTGCTGAGGGCAAATGAGGCATTAAAGATGGCTCATGGTTTCTCAGCTTGATATATGTGTGTGTGAGTGTGTCTGTGTGATTTTTTTTTTTTTTTTTTTTTTTGTCTGTGTGATTTCTAAAGAGGACTGGTGAGAACAAATCCAAGATCTGATGACAAGTTGAATCCGACATCTGAGAGACACTGAAGCAGAGATGCCTGTCAGGTAAGAAGTTAGTCTACAACTTGGAAAAGAGGTCTAGAGGTTTCAATTTGAGGGGCTCTGGTATGTAGATACCATTTGAAGCCATGGAGAAGATAGAGGTTTAAGGGTGGGAAGAAGACTGGAGAAGAGATAAGAGACCTACAGACCAATGACCGACTCTGAGCACTGTCAGTATCTAGCCCAGCCGTGAAGCTCTCAAGTTTATGCATAAACACTTGCATGTCAAACCAGGCACCGCACCTCATTAGCACTATGACATTCTAATACGAACACAGATGCTTGGTTGAAATGACTGTATATAAACTAAATTACACTAAAAGATAATAAGGTGCCCATCATCAACACAGCAAGAAACCAGAGGGACAAAATCCATTGTCAACCAAAACCTTTGTGTTATAGAGAAAGATTTCAGGGACCCATGCTATTCTGCATCTTGTTTTCTAAGCAGAGTTTCTCTACCTAGCTCTGCCTGGTCCAGAACTTGCTATGCAGTCTGGGATGACCTCAGGCTTGTGGTAATTTTCCTGTGTCTGCCTCCTGCTGCTGGCATTACAGGTATGCTCCATGATGCTGGGCTTACCCTGTCACTATTACTAACTGATGGAACCCACTACTAATGTGGCAGAAGGACAATAGACACAATGGAAATCCCAAACATACAGAAGACATAGCAGCACCATGCCCTGCCCAGGTGGCCATGGGGTCTGGCTGGCTCTAAGCCCTTAGTTTCTTGGCAGGTCTTATTTAGCTCCCTTTCAGTCTTATTTCCGATGACTGCACTGTATGCTCCTTCCGTCCCAGCTAACTAACATCTTTGATTTCTCATTCCGTGCTTACATTCATGAGATGTCCTCTGTCCACACTTGCACATTATACTGATACTTCAGAGTCCATCTCTGGGATATCCTGGTCTTTGCTTGAAGAAACTGATCTCACCCCTTGGAAATCTCTGCAGTGAGTTGATAGTACCTCTCTCAGTGCTCTGTTCTCTGACTGTGACACACCGTGTCTGGATGTGCACTGACTGTTTTTCTCTTGCTCAGAAGCTCCCTGAGCTTACGATTATGACAGGTGCAAAGCAAGACACATAAGAGGCACGTTTTCACTTTTCTACCCCGGATCTCCACAAACATCAGTGTCCCAGCACAGAGTGATGCTTTCCCCAAGCCAGTTCTTTCCCTTTGTGAATTGCGGGTGACAATGTTTGGAGCAGAAAAATGCTGTCTTATTTGTATTCGTTCAGAATACAGATGACTCATGGGCATGCAGACTGGATGCTAATCCTGAGGAATGTCTGAACCTATAGCACTTCCAGAATTCTGAATTGCTACATACCATGGCCAGACACAACAAAAGTGTCTTTTTAAACTAAGAAACTCTGTAATACACATTGTTATTATTTAGTTTCATGGTCATGGATAGCCATATACTGTAGGGACTGAGCATGGTGACCATATGACAAACACACATGCACATATGTAAAAACACATTCACACACAACAAGCACACATGTGCCCATATAACAAGCGCACAAGCATGCACACAAAGGGGAACGGCACCATTCTGAAGACCTGTTGATCAATGTGCTTTTAACTGGCAATCTGCCTAGCATTTTTTTTGCTGACTATTTGGTCAACAGGTCTTTAGAATCATGCTGTTCTCCTCTGTGTGCATGCATGTATGTTTGTAATGCTTGAATGTGTGTATACATTGAATGTGTGTACATGTGTGTATCCATGCATGGGTGTTTGCTATATGTGTATGTATGCATTTTTATATATGTGCATGTGTGTTCGTTATACAGGTGTGTATTTGTTATATGTGTGCATATGTCTGGTGTGTGTGTGTGTGTGTGTGTGTGTGTGTGTGAGTGTGTTGTCTGTTTGGTGTGTCTATGTGCATGTTTGGTGTGTGTCTGTCTGGTGTGTCTGTGTGTTTGTCACAGGCTGGTGTTGGCCATCTTCTCTATCGTTCCTCACCTTATGTTTTGGGACAGTGTCTCTCACTGCACTTGAACTTGCTGCATGGTCTAGACTGGCTTGCTTCAAGACCCTGAATAGACTCATCTCCATCCTACCCAGGGCTGAGATGGCAGGCATGGAGTGTGGAGCGTTGTGTGTGCTGTGGTGCTGGGGTCTGACCTCAGCCCTCCAAGTTGTATACGAAGCACCTTATCTACCAACACATCTGGCCAGCCCCTTCCTGCAGTTTCACACCCAGTAACCACCAGGATGTGTATGTGACAGCTCATGATTTGTATGTGTCTGGAAGGTGTGTGTGTGTGAGTGTGTGTGTGTGTGTGTGTGTGTGTGACCTCCTAGTGACAAGTTATTCCTCAGAGACTTAGCTACTTTTAAAACTTTAATGTAATATAAAATCCAAGTTTTATTATAAAAGAGAATTTCATCACAGGGAAAAAGAATAGCCATGATTTCCAGTATCTTCCCTTTCTCTTCCAAGTGGTTAAAGGAAGCAAAGCTGCATTTATTAGAAAGTTCTGCAGAGTTAATGCCCAGCACGTTAGCGATAGCTAGGAATTCTCCATCAACTACTTGGTGGTTTCAACTATGAAAACTGTGGTGTGAGGTGATGCATCTGTTAGCTTGACTGTGGTAATTACCTTATAGGCACACACAAAACGCCAAGTGTGTACCTTTCATACGCATAGTTATCTGTTAACTATACTGCAGTAAATCTGGGATCATAAAACAAGTACAACTATTACACGAGCAAAGAAAACTCCTGTTGTTCATAATTGAACCTCGGTGCTGGTGAGGCCCTCACACTCTGTCACTGCCTAGACTTACCTCTTTGGTAGCGACAGGCAGTAATAATGCCAAGTTACAGTATCTCCAAGCATCCTGGGGTTCCCCAAGCTCAACGCAGCACTAAAAGTGAAAAAAGACATTCTAAAGGTAATCCATATTGGCTGCAAGGAGTGGTCTTTAAGCAGTTATCTTCCTTACCTTGGCCGCATACATGTAGTTAGATATAGAATAACCAGGCTGCAATTCTTCAGTCTGAATTAAGAGAAAGCAGAGAAGGGAATAACAGGGCAATGTTATGACAAGAGTCCTGGTCATAACGAAAAGGATATATTTCAACAAATCAGACCTAGGAACCAGACTGCAACACGACTTCGGCTTATTTCATATTTTAATATTATTATTGGCTTAAGTGTCTTCGTATGGAAACACAGCCTTCGGAGATAGCTATTAAAGTGAATTGACATTTCCGTTATGGTCATTAAGCCTCCACAGTAACAGGATTAGTTCATATACAGTCATTACCTTTCTTTTTATTGTTTTGAGCCTCTCTCATCTTTTTTTTATTTTTGAGAACAAACCCACCTGGCAACATACTCTCCCCAGGACAGGTCCTCTTCATTCCACAGTCGGTTTAGGAAAAGAGTAGAGCATGTTTGTCACCCCATGGAGGCATCTCTTATTAGATTAAGACTTGATTGCTTATGGACACATGCCACGTGACTGGGACTTCAATAACACCTGGGTTCTAGCTCATGTAGTGCTTTTCAAGGAAACATAGGATCCTTGAAAGAGCTAGTCCGAGCAGTAGACAGAGTGGGTCCTACTGGTGTGTCCATCTCCACTCTCACTCAGTCCCTAATCTCTGGGGGAGAAGAATCCCTTCAGAGATGGGGGACTAGACGACAGCTCTTCTAAGGATCCAACTCAGTCTGCCTCTGAGCCACCTTTGGCAGAGGTGGCTAGGCTTGCAAGCTCCTGACCTGACTCCAGTGCCTAGCCTGGAGGAACACAGAACCTAAGGGAAGACTTTAAAAAAAGAAAAATTGTTAGAGCGTGAGGTAGTTACACATTAAAAAGTTTACTTTCTCCTCTCTAATTTTATCCTCAGCTTCGGTATCACTCTCCAGGAGTTCCAGGACTGCCGCAATCAGCAGTCATCCCACCAGATGATTTGTTGAACACAGAAACAGAAATAGTATTTTTAAAACAACATCTACAATGGGGACTTTTTTTTTCTATACCTTTTCTCTTCCTGGGGCCACAGACACGTTTTCATGTTAGCATACTTAGAACTATTTCATTGTTCCTAAAGGTGCATTTCAAACTCTGCACACAATCTCATTAAATTAAGTACTTCCCATTAGACATTTATATTTGTTCTCAGTTTTCATTATCAAAGAACACACTTGCTCCCATATATTGTCTGTATGTGTAGCGACATTTGTAAGAGACTTAGAGTGACAGGTGAACAATATACGGCCTTGGCACGGAAGACAGACAGCACAGCTGCTGATGGAGCAGAGGAAGCTGTCATTTCAGTCCTGGCTAGAGCTCTGGATGTACTGGAGAGCCTGGAGGGTAAAAGGGGCCAGAGGACCACCATCGTGCTGGCGGGCTCTGGCTGACCGGGTGTTTTTCTTCTCTAGTCACTTCCATCTTGGTATTTCTCATTTGATAAGAATCTTTCTTGAGCCATCCCAAGAAGGACTCAGGCTGACCACTCCACTGCACCTCCTTCTCTGTTCAGTACTTGTCTTAGTTCTGTGAACACGCTATCTGGATAACTTCTGCTCTGTGCTCTCTTCTTCAAGATAACCAGAACACATGCACAGACATCACGAGTCAGGCATGTCTACTCTGGGAGCTGGAAATCTCATATGTGTCAAGTTTGAGAGACGACAGGAAGGTACTCCAAGACTGGAGGTGTGGGGGGCATTTCCGGTTGTGGGTTTCTGATGAGGGGCATCCAGATTGTGGCTGTAGCACTGGATGACGGCTTTCAGAGTAAGGCGGAGACCAGCTGAACAGGAGGTTAAGTTAACAGGTGATACACCACATGCTTAGATGTGTGCAATACTTCACTTAATTGTTCGAAGTTATATCATCAAAGCCGTTGCATATGTTAAAGCAAGACTCAAAATACTGGTTTGATCTGATGCCTGAAGAACCTTCTCTACAAGTGTCTGCAACCTGCAAAGTGGTTTGTGAGATAATTTTTCACATCTCTTGAATAGCTATTTGCTTCAACTGAAACACTCTTTCCTAGAGGGAGGAGGAAAACTCACAGGACCCAAGAAGCTAAGGAAACTTGGGACGAACATGAAACTCAGGGATATTAAACAGACTTTTGGAAGTCTAGAGAGTTATGAGACTCACAAGCCCCGTTCCCCTCAAGGTGGGCAAACAGTTGCTGGGAAAGAGACTGCTCAGTGGAGTGGCCTAAAGGCTGATGGGGAGCTGCAGGGAGGCTGCTTCCCCAGCCATCACCTGTACTGGGGTGTTCTTTTCAGTGGTGCAGCTGCTCTAACTCATCCGTGCTGGAGAGATGGCTCAGTGGTGAAGAGCATTGACCGCTCTTCCAAAGGACCCGGGTTCAATTACCAGCACCCACATGGCAGCTCATAACTGTCTGTAACCCCAGTTCCAAGGAACTGACACCTTCACATTAATGTATGTAAAATAAAATTAAATAGGTTATTTTTTAAAAGACATCTGTGCTTCCATAGCTAACCCCAAAAGCTCTGGCTCACCCAGCTATGATTGGTTAGAATCAATTTGGCATCAATGTCCTGTCTGGTCCAAATGAACATTTGTTCTCATCACCCAAGAAAAGTCACACAACAGACTCTTTGAAGTCTGTGTACTGCTTCTGTGTCAAGCTCATGAGGAATGTTGGGAGCAAGTTCAATAATTTGCTCTCAGATTTGGTAGAAACACTTGCTCTACTTACATCTTTATTTTAAAAATATTTATTTTTATTTTATGTACATTGGTCTTTTGACTGCATGTATGTCTGTGTGAGGGTGTCAGATCCCCTGGAACTCGAGTTGCAAACAGTCGTGAACTGCCATGTGGGTTCTGGGAATTGAACCCAGGGCCCCTAAAAGAGCAGCCTTTGCTCTTAATCCCTGAGCCATCTCTCCAGCCCATCCTTACACCTTTATTTAGGCTACCAAATTGCTTTTAAAACATAGTGTGCCAGTGGGGCATAGGACATAGGCTTTAAGGCCAGCATGAGGAGGCAGAGGCAGGTGGATCTCTGAGTTCAAGGCCAGCCAGTTCAAGGTCTACAGAGTGAGTTTCAGGACAGCCAGGGATACACAGAGAAACCCTGTCTTAAAAACAGACAAACCAAGAAAATTACTGTGCTGTTCCTCGGACTAAGAGCATAATTTCGGATCCAAAAAGCTTTGAAACATAACATGACTCCTGTAAGTCTTAAAAACAACACCGTCAAAGGCTATAGTTCAATCCAGGCCTTCAACTAGAGCTTTCCACGTGGAGAGAAGACATATTTCCTTGACAACAGGACAGCTGATGTTGGTACAGATGGTAGGCAGCCTGAGACTAGAGTGACAGATAAACATACCTTGAGGAAGTTCTGCAAAGCTTCATGAACTGTTGACGAGGGTATTTCCCCAAACAGAGTAGCAGCCATTTTTTTCTCAATCCAGCTGAGTTTTGCGACCTACACATACAAAGGAACATCGCTCTTGGAAAACTATTCATCTTTTGAATGGATGATGTCTCTCTAGTTACATATGTAAGCATATATGTATCTATGTGCACTTACTTACAACACATGTTAATAAACACACTAGAATATCACAGTATGCAGTGGTGACTGGCCCTGCCTCGGCTGCTCCTGCCTGGCAACTTCCCGTTGCCAGCTATCCTCCTGAGTCAGCCGCTTTCTAAGGCATAGACACAGAACACGATTCTTAGTCTGGACAGAGTTCAGAGGCCGAGAAGACCCACCGAGTGAGTACTCAGGCCCTTGGAGGCTATCGGCTGATAGCCTGGTCCTACACCCAGGCACACACAGGCAGTGCTAAGGGGACTCAGCGGCTAAAGAGAACAAGCATGTGAAGTTGAGAGGGAAGAGCGGTGGGAAGGATAGAGAATTTAGAGGGGAAGGAATGGGGGTGGGTTTTAACAACACAAACTATGTGCACATGTGAACTGTTCAGACAACAAAAAGTGATCAGTTTCAACTTCATGTTGCCATTTGGCTTATTTTTCATTTTCCCCAAATCTGAATATTGGGCATGAATCATATTTCAGAAATGCCGCTTAGAGGCACGGATGCGCCATGTGTGTGCTCTCAGTGAAATCAAGCACCTTCTCAACCCATTTGAAAACTTCTAGGTAGTCAGCTTTTGGTTAGACAAAAAACCAAAAATCCAAAAACCAAAACAACACCCCCCCCCCTTAAAAAAAAAAAAAAACAAAACCAAAGGACAAAAAAATAGAACAAAGCAAAACAAAAGAAACAAAACCCGTGGAACTAGGAATGTATCCGAGGGAGAGCACTTGTTAGGGACCCACAAGGCTACGGCTCTGTGGCTGACAAGGCCACGTGCTTTTCGGCACAATTTTACTTATTGTTTTGCTTAATTTTGTTACTTTAAGCTTTGTAAAAGTATATCACACCATTTATTTCCTTTTTTTTTTTTTAACCTAACATTGCTTTAATCTGGTTGACGGTATAATTGAAGTTCAGTCATTTAAATACATTATTAAGTGTGGAAGTTGATATCCTTATTATGTGTTTTACATAGGAATCTTTTAAAAATATTCTTGATCCTTTAATTATCTAAAAAGGCAGGTTAGGGGTCAGGCATATGGTTCGCTGTGTAAACAGGAAAACCTAAGAAGCCGTGTCCAGTGGCCAACTACTCAAGTGAAGGGTAAGGAGCAGGGCACCTGACTGTGCGCTCAGCCCTGGGGGAGGGGTGGGATGGACACAGGCATGTCCTTGTTGGACAGACAGTCTAGTAGAACTGGTGAGCTTCAGAGTCAGAGGGATCTTGTCTCAGAACATAAGGTGTTGAATCGCCGAGGAAAACATCTGGTGTTAACTGCTGGTCCCACGTGCACAAGCCACACAGGCCACACTACCCCAACCCCGTCAAGAAGCATGTGAAGCCCACCAGGATTTTGAAAGTATAGACATATTTTCATAATTTTGTCAGTTTTATTTTATAGTTATCAGGAGCACATTATTTATTTATAGTTAAGATATGTAAATCGTAAAATGCACACGTAGCAACAGCAGGTCTTCAATAACGGAAGAGAGCCTCCTCCTTCTCCCTAGGCCTTCTTTGGCCTCAATGAGAAGGGTCCTCATTTGCACACTCTAGTTTCCTTATTTACAAGTTGTATCTTGTGGTCCTGCACTTTCTTCATGCACTTTTTAAGATACATTTTTACATTCTGTAACTCGGCTGTAAACTAATAGTATTTTTAAGACACTGGGCCTTGGGCTGACCAGTTGCCCTTATTGGAGCTGTTTCCATGCCTCAGTTTAGGTTCCTTGAAGGAACCCTGCACTATACCGTATGTAAAGACACTTTGTGGGGCTGCAGATTCGTAGCACACTCGCCTAGAATGTGTAAGGTGTTTTTGGGGTTGATCCTTGGCACCACAAACTTAAAAAAAAAAAGTATTTTGCACCAAAAACCAAGTCATTGTCTGGCCAGCAACGAAACACACAATTTATAAATAAAAAGAGATCTTTCCACAGAACCGTGGGTGGTACACTTGCACACAACACGCGACTGGTATTTGACTTCAGCCTGAGAGAGTCCAGGTATGACTTCTGCGATCCCATGGAAACATAAGAAGAAAATGCACACACACACACACACACACACACACACACACACACACACACAACTAAAATGATATATAAAACATAAGTTTATAAATGATGACAAATATACATCATAATTGAAAATTAATACTCAATTTCAAAACACCCATATCATACATTAAAAAGTAATTTTACAATGCTCTCTAGTGTGCAACAGATAGAAACGTAAAAGAGTAAGTAGGCTATTGAAAATATATCAAATATATCAAATACCCACATCGTATTCTAAGCAATGGCATTAACTTACGGTATAACAATATCTTCCCTTGAGGTAATACAAAAAGGGTTCTTCAGGCAAGAGCTGGATGGCCATATCTAGATGCTCCTGAAAAGAAATTCACAGAAGGATCACCTAGATTCAGATTCTCCTGAAACCCTGTGTGCCAAAGCCCATGGCCCTCAGTGGTCTGAAAACGTCACAGCGACTTCCCCATTCCATAGCCTGAACACAGCCAAATCTCAGCAAGAATCCAACGTCACATTTCCTACACCTGGATCTAAGGCTGCAACTGTGCCTTAAGGAGGGCATGCTTAAGTGTGCCAGGCACCACAGTGAAACTAGAATACATCCATGTCAAATGTCTCTGGGTCCAAGACTTTCCCAGTGAAGACACACTGACCAGAAGTGAGTTTGTAGGTAGCAGAAAGCGTGAGGCAGGATTTAATGTAAGGAAACAGCAGCACTGGAGAGGCCGGGAATCGGTTCCCCCAGCACTGTCAGGCTGAGTACTGGAAGCTGGGATACAGGCAAGAGCGGTTTTCTTCCACTACAATTACTGAGTCACACAGATTAGTTATTGGATCATAAAATCAACAGCAAACAGTATATGCTCTGTAGGAAAGTTGCTTACTTTGATCATTCATCATGCTAACTTTAAGCTACATTCCCCACTCCCAGCCCTGAAGTCAGGCAATGGTTCTCAACTCTGGGTCTTGAGCCCCTTGGGGTCTCATAGCAGATACCCTGCCTATTAGATACTGACATTATTATTAATAAAAGCAGAAAAATTACAATTATAAAGTAGCACCAAAATAACCTTTTAAAGATTTATTTATTTATTTTATGCATGAGTGCTCTATTTTCATGCACACCAGAAAAGGAAATCAGATTCCATTACAGATGGTTGCTGGGAATTGAACTCAAGACCTCTGGAAGAGCAGCCAGTACTCCTAACTGCTGAGCCATCGCTCCAGCCCACAACAAAATAACTTCATGGTTGGGGCTCACAACATGAGGAACTATATTAAAGTGCCCCAGCATTGGGAAGGTTGAGAGGCACTACAAGCAGAGACTGTTGACTGCCGACTCCCAGCCATATTTTGTGATGTCAGTGAGCTCATGCCCAAACAGCTAATCTTCCATCTTTGGGGGTAGGAAACGCCAACATGCACCTACTGTGTCGGTACTATGCTGTGTCATCTTGGCTAATATTTAGCCAAACAAATGGTCTGACCCTTCTTGTTACAGTATTCACCATTTTATTTCATGCTGTTTACACATCAAAGTAAATTGCTAGAATTTAACATGCTGAACAATCTCATACCAGTGAGTGAGACGAGACAGTGTGAACACCAAGAAGTACCTTGAACAGTTGTCCACAGCTAACTTTGTTTTGCAAGCCCTCAAACTCAGATACATAACCACACAAAACTGCATACCTGGGAATGAAGAGAAAAAAAACAACAACAACAACAGTGGTTGTCATGCAAAAAGTTCATCAAACGCCACTATCATATAACAGTTAAAATATATATTAATAATAATATATTAATGTCTCACAGAGGCATTAATACAGACGCAGGGGCCCTGCAAACAGATATTTGACATTAAAATGAAGCCAGCTTCTTCAAGCATAACTGGGCACAGGAACACTGTCTATGCCATACCCATGTGCTGAGGGCGAATGAGCCACAGAATGTAATGCTAATGCCTGGCAGCTAAGAGGTTTCAGCCAATGCCAGATGCCACCATCAGGTGCTAGGCTGCCAGAAAAAGTCTAGTCATGTACTAAATTGGATAACAATGTGTTAACAGATTAATAAAATTTAAGAGATATTAAACCAACATTTAAGGACCATTGTCTCTTTGAAGGTTTCCTGACCTCCTTAAATGTCATTGAAAACAAAACCACCGTCATGATTAAATCAAATAAAACTAAAGATAATCTTACAGCATGCTTTGAAAAAAAAATTCCTTTTCTCTCAATTCCTGCTGGAAACACTGCATTTGGACAAGAGCGCATCTATGATGACTGACATCTCCCCCTGCCCCCTGCCACTGGGAAAACCACATTTACAGAAATGGTTATTTGACCACAGACTGGATGCAGTATTTGTTCAGCAACTTGCTTAGTTACTTTATTTACTTTAAAACCGAGGATACACTGTTTTTCACACCTGTGCAAGTCTTCAGCGGATGTCAGAATGCTGCTGCCTGAGGCAAAATATACACATTTAACTATTTTAAGAGTGTATCTTGCACTGTTATAAAAATTGAGCTTGGGAATACGGTTTTCAATGCTATCTCAGTCATTTTTTCTGAATAAGTGTAACTTCTAAGTACTAAAATTAAGTGGGCAATTTCTTAATTTGGAAGAGTAAAACCATTCTGGGGGACAAAGGACAATGGAAGTCAAGCACTCACTCACACACAATCAGGAAACAGGACCCTGTCAGCTGACTTTGTTCTTTTTCCAGCCAATGGAATGCACTACATACAGTTAGAGGCTGGGCAGACGGGGGAAGGGTGAGGGGTGAAGTGGGGGGGGGGGGGGGGGGGGGGGGGGGGGGGGGGGGCGGAGAGACAATCAAGTCAGCCTGTTAGGAATGACCCCAGAACCTAGCTAAGACAGACTGCTACTCACAGATTTTAAAGGAGACTGGGTTTTGTACCTCAGCACACGCTAAATGTTTTGAATTACTACTGTCATCTTTCATAAATCCAGTACCTTCTACTTTCGTGTTTTCTGCAATTTTAGAAAAATACTTCTTATATTTTTTGAAAAGATCAGGGTTACTTATGTAACCTCTAGGTTTTTAATCTGTTCTTATTATCCATTTTTTTCCCAAATTACTGTGAGTGAGGAGAAAAGACAAAGAAATTCCATGAATTATAAACATTATAGGAAGTGCTCTTTTCCTCTCAAATATGTCCCTGGAGTCTTAGGGTATTTATAATCTGTTCTGAAACCTGTTTTTTGAGTCTAAAACATGATTTGCCTTCTTCTGTGTCACAAACTCCAAGGTCACTAGCTTACTTTTTCCCAAAAGGTCATCACTTCCTTTCTTCTAATTAACTCTAACTATATAAATGCTATTTTTATAGTGTTTATTAAAAATGTAATTTAATATTTTAATTTCTCAAACTCAGTCTGATGGGAATCCTAAAGAAAGTTACATTACACTATGGTGAATTACCTCCATCTAGAGGTTGTTTGAAGTACTGTTGCTTTCACAAGATTTCTGATTCTACATATAATACATGCATGTACACATACATGTATACATGCATAAATATGTATGTATTTGCATCGTGAACTGAATACACTTTTAATGTATGGCAGTCATTATTTCCACAACTCCTGAAATAATTCCATTCATTTCTTGCACTATTTGCGATTCAGCACCAACATTACATATATGGGAAGGATCAGGGGAGCCCTTCGGAATAGAAGGATGGCAGGAAACAGCAACAGACAACATCATCTAGTTCCTGCTTCTCTACTTACTGTGTGCTGCTGCTTACTAATCACACACACACACACACACACACGTACGTAGGGGGCTTTGCTTTGTATTTAGAAATGGAAACAGACTGCCCTGTGGCTCATATGCTGTAGGTGTGTGGGTAGGAGAGGATAACTCCTATTGAAGATATAGTTACACTTACAGCCAAACCCATTTGGACAACATATGCTTTATTATCTTTGTTGTGGCTGTTTTTATTTTTGAGACAGGCTTTCTCTGTGTAGTCTTGGCTGTCCTTGAACTCAGAGATCCTCCTGCCTCTGCCTTCCGAGTGCTAGGATCAAAGGTGTGTGATGCCGCCACCTAGTTATACTTTATTATCTTGATTCCAGAGTGTTTTAGGTTGAAATGATAAAGATATTAGAATATTGTCGAATGTTTATGTAGCCTTAAAGTTACAGGGAAGTTCTCTCTAAGATGACATATTTTTCCAGCTATCCAATAAATATTTATTTGCCTAACTAGGTCCCAAATCCCCAGTTTCCAAGGAGATGAAGAGAGAAAATAGCTTGCTCAGTACAAACTTATTACGGTACTCCTTAAAGTGCGGAAACAGAAACGTGTTAACACGTGTCAGTTTGTAGGTATACATTTATACTATGGGGATTAGACGACCTGGGCAAAGTGACTGAAGATATAAAGTGCAAGGCTGTGCCAGCAGGTAGCTTCTTCCGGGTTTGACAGGAGCACCAAGGCCAGCGTTGCCTTTTCCACTCTCTTTCTATTCAAGGGGCTACTACCAATGTATGGCGTGCTGGGGGAATTGAGTCACGTAAAGCTCACATTTTCGGGTGTGTTTCTTAGGATTTGGGGTGCATGCGCGCACGCGCAGAATAAACAGACAGCTCTGTCTGGTGAACCAATCCTTAGGGACGGGAACAGCAAAAAGGTGGTTGTTTTGAGACAGATTTTGCCTAGTGATGTTCCTAAAGAAAGAAAATAACCCAAAAGTGGACAGATTTCTGGAAACATACATTAAAGAAATGGTCATAAGTTAATTTTTCACTGTATATTTTTAATATCTAGGGTAACTGTATGGATAGCTCATGAGAAAAACAAAGCCCATAGCAGCAGCAGCAGCAACTAAAATTCTAAAAATGTAAAACAACAAATTTGTTGTAAAACAACAAATAAATGGAAGAATAACTTAAAACAATATGGTTCTTTTAATTTTCTGTTTTTCAGTGTAGAAGAGAGCCACCCCCTCAAAGAAAACAAAACAACAACAACAAAACAAACAGAACCAGAAAATAATTTTTTCTATTTTGCTCCAAAGGTGCCCATCCTATTCCCACCCAAATAGCTATGTTGCTTTGTGCTTTCTTTCTTTTTTCTAATTAATTAATTAATTTACTAACTTTACATCTCGATCACACCCCTCTCCCTCCTCTCCTCCCACTCCCACTCTCCCACCTTCCTTCCTACTTCCCCCTCTCCTTCTCCTCAGAAAAGAGGAGTTCCTCCTCCTCCCACCAACCCGCTGCAGGACATCAAGTCTTGCTCAGACTGGATTTTCCCTGACCTGTGGAATTTGTTTCCCATGGCTTATCAGGTCAAAGAAAATGACCTCCATGATTTCATTGTTTGGGGCATTCGTTCCACAATTTGTTCAGAAACATGCCCAAACTTTAGTATATGTTTGCAAAAAAACCAACCAACCAACCAAACAAACAAACCTGGTATATTTAATTATAGTTTACCTCAAAGTCATGAGACTTGTTAGATTCTCATGAAATACTCACATTTAAAACATATCTAACGAGAAACATGCGAGAATAAACAGAACAGTAGCAGCTGCAGCATTGTCCACCACCTTTTCTGTGAGTGTGCCTGACCCATTCAGTGCAGCAATCCTACTCTTCAAAACCCGCTGCGGGGTAGACAGAGGCATGTATACTGGGATGTCATGGCTGCAGGGACCCTGTGCTTACCACAGATGGCAGTGTCCATTCATGGGAGCTCTGGTGATAGCTCTTTCTCCTAAAGTTTTTCCTGGAAGACAGAGACTGAGGTTAGCATCATTATAGGAGTTGGTAGAGCACAGTAGACAGTGTGTGAAGGGGTAGGACCTTGGCCTGCTCATTCACGACTGGAATGGGTTCAGGGAATAAATACTGGCCTTAAATTATTATACTCAGTTTGTCAGCTTTTAATCTTGTAAGGACTGTTTTTCATAGAGGTTGTCTAATGGCTTGACTGTGTTCTGAGACTCAAAAAAAAAAAAAAAAAAAAAAAAAGGAATATTTTTTCTATACTTCTTTCTTCCCTGTTCCCATCCCCACTTGGTGCTTTGAAGACATTACCCAGTGGCTACAAAAGGACATTCTACAAAAAGTGGCTGAGTTAGCCTTAAGTAGGGATCTTCTAAAATAATTCTCTAATTTATTAATTGCTCAAGGTTCACGTGATAGCTTTACCTACTATGGGATCTATCTAGTGTAGAAATCAACTCACTCAAGCTCCCATTCCATTTAAAAACACAGTGTAAAGGATTGTACCTACGTGAACTGGTTATCTTTATGAGAAAACTTCCCTACATGAAAGTGGCTCCTGCTATGAACCCCTCCTTTCTGTTATACACAGGCAACACCCTGCGTTCTCTTAAAACAACAGCACATTTCTGTCCCTTTACATATTATTATGTCAACAGTATCTCCTTCCCAACAAAATCAGAGTGTCCCCCCCCCAGTCTATTTAGAGACCTCATCAATTTTGTACTCCTAATCCCCTCTGCTAACAGAACTCCCAAGAGAATGAAGTGCTAGAAAAAGAGACACTTTACTGCTGATGAAAAACAGTTTTTTACATTAAGATGCTTTATTTCTTCCCCAGCAGATAAGAATATAAATCCTTTCAGGCTCTGGTTGAAATTTTCTTTTCTTTGAAATTTATCTCTTTTCTAAAACTACCATGTACAGTGCCTGCCAACTGGATTGCTACAGAAAACTGATGCTGGAAAGGTGACAGGTAAATATGCATAGAACAAGAGGGGAAATTTCCCATCTTCCTCCAACGAGGGAGCAATTAAAGTGCAGAGGACACTCAGCAATGAAATCTCCTAGTGGAAGAGAGACTACCACAGTTCCAGTCATATTTCATTCATGGAAATAAAAATGCCCAGGACTGGAGTGGGAGGAGTTCTCACTTGCTATTTCTTTCTCATATTATCATTTTTAAAAATCGAGGAAAAGAGACAGCTTTGGAACAGAAGGAGAATAAAAACAACCATGACATCAATTATTCTGAAGCTCAGAGAGAAGGGTGCTCAGGAGCTTTTGCAAGAAAGCATTCTGACATCCAATGAAACAACACAAACAGCAATAGTACTTTGACATTCTCCTCAGTTTTTATTGTGATTATCGTTATTATGAAAAATTTCAAATATAAGCAAAATCTATACATGGCAGCATAAGGTAATCATCTTAAATAATCATCAAGGCTGACTTTGTTTCATTCAGACACTTTTGGAAATCCCTGACAGCTGAGAGGTTATTTCTGTGTTTCCGGACTTGCATACTATGGGAAGGGAATGGTAAGTTTAACTGTGACAGGTCACAGATGGAGACCACGAGCCTCCTTGGCTTATTATTGCACCTCAAGTATTAGTCCAGGTGTTTTAGCCTTCTGTGAGATTACAAACTTAAAAAGTGAAATAGTTTTTGTTTTTTTTTTTTTCAGTTCCCCCTTTTAGTATTATTAGTTCAATTAATTTAAGGAACATTCACTCTGGTCCCAGAAGACCATTTTGTTCTGAGACTGTGTACAGTTTTTGGTTATCAAATATATCAAAATAGATCAAGTCTTTAACTTAGATGATTTTGCTTGTATTAAAACCCGTTGATGGTTTATTGTGGAAAATAAAGCCAGCTGAGAACACCCAGTCCTGACAAATTACTTACCAACATTAGCATAATGTTTCTTTTCTTGTTTGTTTGTAGAGAGGTCATACATGTCTCCATAGGCACGGGCAAGCCGCCACAGAAACTCTATCTCTTCACTAAACTGAAAGATAGGTTAATACGTTAATTTGTCCAGATGGGCTGTAATTGCTTTCATTGTATTTTTAAAAATGTAGGCAGGTACAATGGTATTTATAGATAACTGAATTTATACATATGGATAATATATAAATATAAATATTTATGGCTAAGATATATGGCCAAATATAGTATTACATTTGGATCTTCAATCATTTAATATTATATAGGTACTAGATCTAATTGTGTAGAAGATAGAGTTGACAGGTGCCAGAACCTACACATTCCCCCTGAACTAGGACGTCCTCTCTCTTATTATCCTCTGTAAATTATCTGCTGTCAGTATCAGTATAATAAATAGCTGACTGCGCATTTTAGGTACTATTTGTGCACTGAAGTGATATACTCAAAAAAGACATTACAATTTTTACCTAAATGACTTAATTATAATTGTAGATAAGTTTAAAAGTTTTAAAAACGTTACTGACAGACAATTCTTGTACCTTCTTACAGAATATAGTCTGATCATTTGATATATTTGTACACTCTATGTTGATCAGTTAGGGTTCACAGGTTTTACACAGTATGTTGAAGTTGACTAAGGTTAGGCTTAATTTCCCATGGGCAAAAAAAAGAGATTTTATTTCTCCTTGAGCTATCATGAGCCCTTGTATCTTTTCAGTCAGTGCTGAGGGTGAGAGGGATTAGCCATTCAAGTCCACCATTAAGCACTGCAGAATGACTATTGATAGAAATAGCCATAAATACCGATAGATTCTGTATTGATATCAATGTAGAAAACTTAGCCGGGTGTGGTGGCACACGCTTTTAATCTCAGCAACTGGAAGGCAGAAGCAGGCAGATCTCTGAGAGTTCAAGGACAGCCTTGTCTACAGAACAGAGAAACCCTGTCTTAAAAAACAAACAAAAACCAAAACAACAATAAAAAGAAAACTTAAAATACAATTTTTATTCTTTCCAGAGAAAACATTATGCCTAAGCATAAAGCCTTATTCTTCATATTATAAAATATGCATTAAATACCCAAGTTAATAAAATCAAAATCAATCTGTATAAGGTGGGTTCCTATTTTTGTGACTTTAGATGAACAGAACTAACTCAATCTTACTTAAAACACACACACACACACACACTTTTATTTAAAAAAATACATCAATAATTCTGTTTCTGGGAACTGTGACATAGTATTAATAGTTTCAATCTGAGTGGGGTGACACGTTAATAAACAAATGAAAACTGTATGAACATGCTGCTCTAGTGCAGCTCTTACCTTTTCTTTGTGGTCACAAAGTAGCTCAAAACTCTCCACTTTGTCAGACTCGTTTATCCGTAAACGGTCTACCTTCTGAAGGAGTGCATCCAACTTTAGCTCCTCTATGTGTGTGTTAAAAGCCTTAGGGACCGGGAAACTCTGTTCTTCTGTGTCAGTGTTAGCTGTAATGTACCTACAATGGCAGAAACAACCGCCAACTCCCTTTAGACTTACGCAGAAAGAGCAGAGCAAGCCTTTGACAATGCAAATCAAATCATCTGACTCTTGTGCTAGAACATGCCGTGGCACCCATTTGTTACACGGAGGAAGGGTCCAAGGACTGGCGACGTGCAAGGACTTGGGCAATTACTAGGACTTACACCAACCCTAACAGCTCTCTGATTTGATTTCCAACCAGCCTTTTCAGTGACTGTCACTCAGCCTGTCACTCACGCCTCAAGACCTTTACCTGCTGTTCTCTCTGATGGTCTTTTTCCTAGACAGCAACCTAACCTCTCCTCTTCACTGAAGTCTCTGCACACTGGATCCTCATGTGGCCATTTCCAGATCATTCTAGTTAATCTTACAACCTTGACTCTCTCTCCTTTCCGACATGTTTCAATTTTTCCTCTACAGCACATCTTCTCTTTAATATGCTATAAATAATAACCCCACGGCACGTGGTTTTTGTTTTTTGTTTTTCAGCTCCGCTAAACTGCCTGCTTCTTGGTAGTGAAGCTCGCTTGCTGGAGAGCTAAGCACCCAAAGTACACCCACCGGATGTTGTGATATGTCACAGCAGCAGGCACTGAAACTCGGGAGGCACTCAGAAAAGGTGAGGGAGGCCGTGCTCGCCTTGGTCAGATAGTTATCTATAGTTGAACATGATGTTCTAATTTTGTGGTGTGTGTGTGTGTGTGTGTGTGTGTGTGTTCATGTGCACATGTACAACTGCATGCACACGAATGGTGTGTGTGTGAGGTCAGAAGTGGACAGCCAGTGCCTCCCTTAGTCACTCTCGCATTGATTATTTTATCTGGAGCTCAACTGGTAGCCCCACTGGCTGTCCAGACAGTGCCAGAGACCTGCCAGTTCCCGTTCCCTCTCTGCTGGGGTTCCAGGTGAGTGTAGCTGTGCCCAGCATTTACACAGGTGCTAGGGATGTGAACTCAGCTTCTCCTCATGCTTGTGTGGCAAGTACTTTTCTGACTGAGCCATTTTTGTAGCTCCTGCTGTTCTAACTTTGGTTTAGTTTTCAAAAATTAATACTACCTTTTAGTGCTGGCTAGTTTTACATTAACTTGATAAGCTAGAGTCATTTAAGGAGGGAACATCAGTTGAGAAATATTCCTACCAGAATGGCTTGTGAGGTATTTTCTTGATTTATGATTGACATGGGAAGGCCAAACTCATGGTGGGTGGTGGTGCCATTCTTGGGCTGGTAGTCCTGGATGGTATTAGAAAGCAGGCGAGGTCAACCATGGGGAGCAAGCTATTAAGCAGCACTTAGCTGACCTCTGCATCAGTTCCTGCCTCCAGGTTCCTGCCCGGACTTCCTTTGATGGTGGACTGTCATGTGGAATTGTAAACCAAATAAACTCTTTCCTCCCCATGTTGCTTATGAGCACAGTGCTTTATCACAGCAATAAAACCCTCAACTAAGACAGAAATTGGTACCAAAGAGTAGTCTATTTCTGTTGACAGACCTGAACATGTATTTCTGGGGAGACTGTGGAAGGGCTCTGGAACTTTGGGCTGGAAAAGGTTGAAGGATGTTGTAAGCAGCCATGAGCATTGTGGTTCAAAAGATGTAACAAGGAGGCGATAGACTCATGGGTACCTGGGAATAAGCTGCAGGGGCAGAGGAATACAGCAGAGCATGCAGTCTCCAAGAAGACTCTTAGAAAAATTAAGGTCTGTTGCTTATGCAAGTGCATAAGCACGCAGACCTGTAAAATGCACGCTCCAGAAAGACTTGAAGAGATCCCCAACTATCACTTCCGCTCATCACTGAGGGTCTTCTACAAGGAGCCAGTCTGCAGAGCTGGATATTCTTTAAGAGTCTCAACTTTTAACAAATCCCACAAGCATACTATGAAATAAGGAAAGATAGTTTATTCAAAGAATGAGAATGTATCTCCAGACACGGAAGCTCAAGAGACTCATGCTTTAGAGTGCTTATTCCATGATTTTAAGACAATAGCCTCAAACTTGATCAAAAAGCTAAGGGGGAAGAAAGGAAAGAAGTAAAAAGATAAAAGAAGAAAATAACACATGAACAAAGCGGAGTGTTAACAAAGAAATTCAAATTATAAAAAAATAACCAAACACGGGGCTAAGATTATTATAAATGAACTGGAAGGGAGCAACATAAACAATTTAACATTGGAAAGCAAAAAACAGACAAACCTGAAGGTGTGTAATTTAAAAATATTGTGAGGAATAAAAAGAATAAAGAATGAATAAAAATAGATACAATTGGAAGGATTTGGGAGATATCATGATATTGACCAAATACATGTTATGAGGGTTCAGGAAGAGGAGAAGGGACAATGGGTTTACTTAAAAAAAATAATTGCCCAAACCCCAAATCTGAGGAAAGACAAGTATATGAAAATATTAGTTGGTTCCAAGTAGAATAAACCCAAAGAGGCCCACCCAAGGCATCTTACACTTGAGCTGCTGAAAAACAAACCTAGGGCATCTTCAAAGGGCAAAAACAAATAAAACCCAAAACCTCAGCACATGTCAAGGATCGTCACCTTTAGCAGACTTCAAAGCACAAGGCTGGGATGATGTATTTTAATACCACAAGAAAGAAAGAAATAATAATACCATTCCACACCCAGCCAAAATGATCCTTCAAAAATAAAGGAGAAAGTAAATATTTTTTTTTTGGGGGGGGAAGCCAAGTTTATCATCTACCCTACAAGAAATGCTAAAAGGAGTCCTTTAGATTTGCTTCACACAATAATCTGAAGACAAAAATGCAAATTTCTCAGGCTGGGGATATAGTCTAGTTGGCACAGTGCTTGCCTCTCATGGAGCCCTCGGTCCAATTCCCTGTCCCTGTAAACTGTAAACTGAGTTTGGCAGCATATCCCCTGTAACACCTAGGAGGCAGAGACAGGAGGATCCTAGCTGACACAGTTCAAGGCTACCTGACAGTCTAGGCTACAGAAGGCCTTGTCTCAAAACAACTACAACAAAAACAACTCCCCTGAAAAATGTTAAGTTCTTCAGTAAAAGCAAATACATGGATAAATACTAAATCAATTGTTATGAAAATCCTGCACTGACATTTTACTTTTTATTCAGGATTTAGAAAGAAAAGTATAAAATTGTAAATATATAATGCTTACATAATACATATATAAAGTGGGACAATAATATAAAACATGGAGCTAAAAAGAAATAGTTTTTTTTTTTTTTT